CTGTTTGCAGACAAACCATGAACAAAAACAGGGATGGAAAAAATTAAATTAATCAGGAGAAAATATGCACTATTACTTATCCTAGCAGACCTCAACAAAGCCAAGGATTCAGGTGTTTTTTTTTTTTTTCAAAACACATCACTGATCAATGACAAATATTTTTAACAATATCAGTGTACAAACATGTATTTCTTTGTGCATTCTTGGACACTAACTTGGAAGGTGGAGTGAGTCAGTCATCAAGTGTAGCTGTAGAAACTTCAGCATATTTAAGGCCTCTAATTTTTCCCACTGAATTCTGAGAAGTTTTTAAGACTAGCAAATTACAATAATATTTTGCTTTGTGAAATAATCTCCCTTGCTCTCCCTAATCTCTTTGTCTCCACAAAGTCTATAATTTAATGGAGCAAGATGCTTCAAAATATTGCCAAGGCCATTATCTCCAGTGGTATTAATAAACTTGCCTCCAAGACATGCCCATACTCACATTCCCACATGCACCCATTTCACATGGAAGGCACAGAGAATACCTCAGTCCCTGCAGGCAATTCTGAGTGCTATGAAAGAAGCAGTGCTAAAGCAGAAATAGGTAGGGCATGGCAAACACACGAAGCCACTCTCATATCCACCAGAAAGCAGGCTGAGCAGCCCATTTGCCAAGCTCTAAGTTTCCTGGAGCAAACAAGTTGCAGAAAACTCCTCAAACAAGCCAGAGCTGGCCACACAAAAAGCATAACCCCTCCCTCTAGTTGTTACCTTGATAATGGGGCAATCCCTGGCCAGAGGGCTTGAGGAATAGGAAGGCAGGAACAGGAAATGACAAGATCCAGTTCCTGGAATACCAAGGTGAAACACTGGCTACCAGAGCACAGAAAAAATACATATCCCCATCAACTTCTCCTTGTCTAAAAGCATTAAATAAAGGGTTCAGGGAGATAAAGTCTTCTCAAAAATCTATGGAACTGCTTTGTCAGTCACCCATAATTTGTCTAATAAATACATCAATGCACAGCAGGTAAATACAGGAACAGACACACTCAGGGAGGCAAGCAGTGAGCACCTCCATCTACACAGGTAGCCAGTTGGCTTTCTTGGTTCCACAGAAACAGGTGATGAGGCTGGTCAGCTACAATCATACCTGCAGGAGGAAAACACCACTGATTTCTGCCACAAAGTTCTGCTCCAAGCTGCAGTGCAAGTTCTTATTCACTGAAAACAATACGGACACATCTCTTAGACCAACCTAGTACCTGTCATACTCTACTCTCTTCTAGATGCTTTAGGACAGCCTTGACATTAGCTAAGAGCAGGATGATTTGCAAACACTCAAGATCTTGTAGCTTTTTTCCTCCTCTCCACACTTTCTACAGTGTCTGATCTCTTGGAACAATGCAAGAGGTGTTAATCTTTATCCCCAACTTCTCCATGCTCCCCTCACAGACCCCCTTTGCCACTGGGTAGAGCCCTGTGATATGGTGCAACAGCAGCAAAAGCAGTAAGTGTGTAGCTTTACACACACAGAGCACTGAATTTACTGGTGACAATGACCTTTCTGCCATTTCACACCTCACTGCTTCCTACCCTTTCCCCCTGAATCCTTTAGCACTCCTATACCCATTCCACCTTTGGCTTCCCCACAAACACCATCCAAGATGGTACAATCAGTCCTTAAACCACCTGTCTGCTAAAAACTACAGAAGAATCGCAGATACTTTATTTTCTCTCAGGAGTCCACAAAAATCTCTCCGTGCAGGCACTAGAGAGCTGGGCCAAGACACCATGTTAAAATAACCAAGCTTTGGGTTTTAGTTTTCACCCAGAGAAGGAAGTACGTTCCATGCTTTGCTGTTTCCAGGCCTTTCTCTGAAAATCCTTTATTTTCTTTAAATAACAAGGGGTAGCAGTCAAGTGAAAGCAAGGGCTACTTGATCCATTGTTTGGCCCCCAGCCAGGTTCTGCTGGTCCCGCTTTCCTTCTCAACCACCCGTTTTTCTATTGGTCCTGTAATTTGGGGAGATTAAGATGTATAGCCTGTAAATTGGCTAAACTTTTCCAGGCTGCTTTAATGAGACTTCATATAATAGGGTTGCCTTTTTTTTTTTTTTTAATATTTTCCTTAACGTGACCCATATGGAAATAAAAAGATATATTTTTTAATGTATGCTAGATTACGGCCGACATTTTCCTCAAATTAAAATCCATGCTTCAGCAGCAGCATACATTTTCAATGATGTCAAATATATTTTTTCAGCCAACTGGCTGGGGTCACCCTTATAACTCAAAGTTTAAGTGTGTTGGATAATCAGTAGAACATGTGAGACTCTGTAGGGCACTGTGGCTGCCTCAGTGCCTGCTCAGGAGCACACAGGGCCTTTTCTACTCCAAGGCACTTGAGGCAGGAGATACGGAATAAGACAGGGATAAAACTCTGCCTCGGAATGGGCTGACAGCACATGGCCCACAGCAGGAACCATGTGGCTCTAGCCCTGGCTGGCATCAAGCTCTTCCAGCAGAGATCACCACACTCAGCTATAGGCTAAGACTGAATTTACAGGCTGAGCTAAAACCACCAGCACTCCTCCATTGACAGATGGAGTGTCCTTTGTTCAGAGATGCCATACAAGCCTTGTCAACCATTCCCGTTATCATTTTATTGGGAATGACTCCCAGTGGGAGCAGCCACAACCTAAACAAGGGCTGTTCTTAGCTTTGTTTGTAACATTTACATCACAGAAGTACTTATTTACCTGATCTTCCCACCTTAAGAATACAGTCAGAATATTACCTATAGCATATCAAATGTTTAAGCACTGTGTTGCTCAAACACTATGTTTTTAAACCTTATTTTAAGGTTTGACACTATGCTTTTAAACCTTATTTTAAAACAATTGCACAGAGTGCAACTAAGGCTGAATCAGCATTTAAATAAATAAAATAAATTTCATTAAATTTAATTAAATTAAATAAATTTCAACTGACATATCTGTAGAGGCTAAATTCAAACAACTTGGAGAAACATTTTCCAAATGCTAAAGCAAAAGAGAGAACTGTAACAATTTCCGTGCAGAAGTTCAGTTTTCTAACAACTCTTTTAACTTGCAAGTAGATGATAATGAATCCACAATTGTGTGGGGAACCACAAGAAACACTGGGCTTTCAGCTCTAAATGGGTTTTCCTCTTTGTTTTTGTTTTTGTTTTTTGTTTTTTTTTTAATTCCACACTACGGTTTGTGGTTAGAAATTGCATTGTCATACAATTCAGTCCAAAATTCCCATTTCCATCAAAAGGATGTCCATTCAGCTTTACAGAAAAATGTGGTTTAAGTAATTTTATAGCTAGCACAGGTAGCAATAGTTTAGAATGGAAAACTGAAACCTGACCTACATTTAAAAGTTGCATAAGAATACTGGGATTGACTGGGTGTAGAGAGTTACTCCTGTAACCCTAATATGGATGAATTCAAGAATGGGCAAAAAACCCAAAAGCAAACCACCAAGGTCAATTTGCTTCCAGGGCTTGTCTTGGGCATGAGGAAATCCTTATAAACTATGTAGACAAATGATTCTTTTAAGGCCGTGGCTCCACTAAGAAGATTCGGTGATACAATTGTATCAGGGCATTTATGGCAGAAAATACTTTGTAGTTAATACATAAAAACCCATCAAAACCTCATTTACAGTTGAAATGACAGGTAATTAAGATACAAGGGATTGTGTCACTTCAAATAAGATTCAAAAAGGTTATGGGATGCAAGTATCAGGCTTCCGCCATAAATAAATTTGTTCAGTCACACCTGGTTTGCCCAACCCCTCCATCTTCCCATCACTATTCTGCTCCTCTTCTGTTTAAAAATACATCCTGTGAAACATTCATTTTTAGCACAGATTGCAGAGAAATTGAGCCCTCTGGAGCCTTGCTCTATCACTGTAGAATTCTAATGGGGTTTTTACTAAACAACAAGGAAGTTATTACTAAATGACTGTACTAAGAACATATTTGTGACTGTGTCGATTCAGATTTCCTGGAGAAGCCAGTGCTGCCTTACTGAGTGTTGCTCAGATGAGCCACCAAAGGCTCTGGAGCAATTTTATCCCAGAACGCAGAGGACACAGTGGGAATTAAGGAGAAAATCACATGACCCTAAAGTATGGATGTGCTGAATAAGTATAAAAGAGTTTTGATATAAACTGTCTATAGTCATAAGCAGAAACAACCATAGTTTTGGAAATGTAGACTAGGACACAACCAAACCTTCAGGCAGGTTGTTACTGAAATGAACACGAAACTGACTGAATACTGAAACAGACAACCAAGAGTTTCAAAGTAATTTGTAGCATTTCACAAACAACACCTACACAAAAGGCCATAAACTACAACACAGGAAGTTCCACCTCAGCATGAGGAAGAACTTCTTTCCACGGAGGGTGGCAGAGCTGGAACACCTGAAATCCCTCTCTGGAGACATTCTAAATCCACTTGGACGGGTTCCTTTATCACCTGCACCAGGCGACCCTGCCTTGCAAGGGAGTGTGACTGGGCGATCTGCAGAGATCCCTTCCCACCCTAAATTGTGAACCTGTGAAAGCTGCGTTTACTGAGTCCTTCCTTAGCCTCAACCTCCTCCCGCCACCAGCGCTCCCTGAGGGGCGGCATCACCGCTGCGCCTCAGCGGTATCCCTCCGCGCCTCAGGGCCGCATCACCGCGCCTCGTTCCCTCCGCGCCTCACGGCTTCGCGCCCTTGATGCGCATCACCGCGCGTCGTGTCCCTCTGCCCCTCAGGACCACATCACCGCGCCTCGTGTCCCTCCGCACGTCGTGTCCCTCTGCCCCTCAGGGCCACATCACCGCGCCTCGTGTCCCTCTGCCCCTCAGGGCCACATCACCGCGCCTCGTGTCCCTCCGCGCCTCGTGTCCCTCTGCCCCTCAGGGCCACATCACCGCGTCTCGTTTCCCTCCGCGCCTCAGGGCCGCATCACCGCGCCTCGTGTCCCTCCGCGCCTCAGGGCCGCACCACCGCTCCTCGTGTCCCTCCGCGCCTCACGGCTTCGCGACCTCAAGCCGCAGCCGCATTGCCGCCGTGCCTCGTGTCCCTCCACGGCTCCGGTCGCCGTCACTTTGCCCTCCCTGTCCCACCGCCATCACAACAGGTAGCTGGTCACCCGTGTCCTGCCAGGAGCACATTCCAGCGCCAGGGATATCCCAGGTCGGTTTGAGGAGGAGATCCTCTCGGGAGTTAGAGAGTCACAGAATGGTTCGGGTTGGAAGGGATCTGTACGTTTCACTCACCCAAAGCCCTGCCATGGGCAGAGACACATTCCACTATCCCAGGTTGCTACAAGCCCCTTCCAGCCTGGCTTTGGGCATTTTCATGGATGGGGCAGCCGCAACTTCTCTGGGCATCCTGTGCCAGGGCTTCACCTCACAGGATTGGGCCCTGGAAAAGAAGAATGTGTGCTACCCTCAGGTGGGAGGTGAAGGTGACAATTATTTTCCAAACTCAGCTTTGTGGCATTCTGTTAAACTCGCTCATGGCATTGAGTCAAATAAAATAAATTTAATTAATTACATAGATTTGTCACCAGAAAGTAACAGAAAATGCCTTGGTTTCTTTTCCCATTGTGAGAGCTTGAGTGGCCTTTCCCCATCTCCTGGTCCACACTGGCACCAGCAAGATTGAAGCATTCAGATAATACTAAAGGCTGAAATGAAGACAACTAACAAGAATCTAAATGATTCCCGATAAAATTAGCTCCACTCTTGGTTACAGCTTGGTTTCAGTAACATCAAGGTTGTAGGGTCTATCCCTGTACTGGCCATATATATTTAAGTATTGGACTTAATGATCCTTGTAGGTACCTTCCAACTCAGAATATTCTATTAAACAAAATCAGTGTTTACTCTACACTGTCATGTTTGTTGAAATGAAGCAAAAATACAGAAGGTAATTCAGGCATTGTCCTGAAAATCAGAAATTTCTCCCTGGGGTTCTCATTGTTCTGAAGTTTGTTCTCCTGTGTTTCGCTCTAAACTCTGTATTTAATCAACTTATTGTCATTGATCAGCCATACTAAAGCAAGGCTGCAGTTCTGATTGGATATTACTGCATTTTAGCTGAGCACCAGAAACATTTCTTCATGATAAGACCTGTTAGACAGTTGGACTCTCTTCCGATGGAACTCACATAGGCCCTGTTATTACAGACAGTGGTAAATCCATTCTACAAAATACTCTGTAGGCAGCAGTTTCAGGACAAAACTAAACTGATGTTCTCTCTCCAGGATTTTGGGGAGTTGCTCTGTGAGCCACGGGAGCCATGAAAAAGCTGGGATTTCGTAGCTGCCTTGCCTAGATTGCTTACACCTGTGAATAATTAAGAGTTCAGGTCTATAAGCTCTTCAGAACTTTCTGAAAAGTTATAAGAGCTTTGACTCACCAAATCATTGAAATTGTTCAATTTTCAGTGGCAGAGAAGGGTTATATCTACAGAATCAGGTTCCTAATACAGGAATTGGCAAGAGCAGTCTTGAGTCAAAATTTGAATATAGCATTGATATATTTATTTCTTTTGATCATGAATATTTTCACACTCTACAGTAATAACAAAAGCGTTAAATGTGCATTTAAATCTCCTTATTCCATAGCTAACACACTGAACTGTGAAAAATATTCCAGACTATTTTTCTCAGATCATTTCTAGATGTCCTGTATCTGCTGGTTTTATTTAGGAACTGAAGGATGAAATGGAACTAAAAACCAAGAATGGTATCTTGAAATTGCCTGACACCCAGATATACCAGAAATCTCATTAAAATATTATGTATTAGAGTTCCATGAAGTGTTTTCAATCTAACAGGTCTATGGAAATATCCCTAACTATCAAAGTAGGGTACAGAAAAGGGTGAAGAGAATGAAGGATGCAGATTTTTAAAGAACTTTGGGAATGCTGAACAGAATAAATCTCCAGTAGGAAACAGGAAAAAAAATCAAGTAATTATTTTTGTCTCAACACAAGTATTACAGAAATACCCTGCTTTGGCTGATGAGAGGAAAAGACAGGGAGACAGAAGATGTTTTGAATGTTCACTGCCCAGGCAGTGGAGTGATTTGAAATGTGCTCTGGTGCAGCTGTGTTTTGTCACACAGCCATGTGCAGGCAGCTTTGGCCTGCCTGCCAGGACACACAGGTAAGAGTGAGCAGTGTCAGCTCCTGCCACCTCCCAGCCCTGGCTGTGCACAGCAGGTGCTGCAGGCTCCTGCCAGCTGAAAGCCACTTTGTTTTCCCAGTTAGGCATTCCACAGGGTTACTGGAAAACTGCTTCAAGTGGCCATCCAGTTCTAGGGAGTGTTTTCTCAACATGAACTGATTCTAATGCACCCTAGAGGGCAACTGGTACTTTCTAGTGTTTGCTATGGCACTTCAGGAATGAAAATAACTCTTGCCAGACTAAACAAGGCTAAATTAAATGAAAAAAGATCCTGTCTCTAGGACAAGTGCCATAACTTGTAGTTATAGGGCAGTGGAGGAGCTGACAGAATAGTTTCTTTTGGATATGATGATGTCACAGTGCACAGCTTTGGTCTGTTGACTGAGGTGGATTTTGTATTCCCATGTATCTTATCATCAGCACTTTCAAATCAGTTTTACCCTTGTGAGGAAGGGAAGTGAGAGTTGGAGGTTGGATTTTTATTAGGCACAGCTGGTCCAAGGGACGTCATTTATTCCTAAAGCCAGGGCTGTCTTTCATATGAAACCGTTGGGTGGATGGTGGGCAGGGGGAATCACTCGAAGTAGTTTCAACAGCTGGGGGTCAAATTATAGAGAAAAGTGGAGAGAAGGAAAATTTATAATCTATAATTTGAAACCAAAATAAGAATGAGACAAGCTTATTTGAAGGACTGGAAGGAAAAGGATGTGATATATGGCCTGATACAGCCAAGCAAAATGAACACTGCCATTGCACTATTACTTTGCAGACAATCCAAAAAACCAAAAGGGCCTATTAAGTCTGTCTCTGTGGAGATCTAATTAGGTCATACAAACAATCTCTGTTGTTAATAGGACCCTTTAACGATACATGGACACCTTAAGAAGTCTGTAGCAGATATAGGAAAGATTCTGATCCATGATGGGAATAAGAAGTGAACAAGAGTAAAGAAATAACAGATGAAAAATTGGCATAGGAATAAAAAAAAGGTCTATAAATAGAATTATTGAAGTAGGAGAGGAAAATGTGAGCCTTATTCTTCCCTAGAGGTGATGTTATCCTATTCTGTGAGACATGATTTGCTTTGTTTGCTTGAAGTTAAGGGAATGGAGGAGAGGAATTGGTAGGAAACAATGCATTTTGAGGGGGAAGAAAAAGCTTCCAAGGGAAAGCTTCCCACATCTTTCAACATGTGGGAAAGATCATGTTGAAACAATGTGTTTGCTTAGAGTGACTGATAGCAGTGACTACCTGTGTAATCCTAGTGAAGGAGATTTAGAGGACAGTTGGGTGTAAATTAAAATAGAATCACAACAAGTGCAGTGAGACCACTTCTGGCTTCAGGACATCATGTAAGGAAGTGTCAAAGGTGTGTGGGTCTTCACTCAGTGCAGATTGGACTTCCTGAGACAGCAGCCCCAAGTGACCCACTTACCCTTACACTGAAGGTGTGGTCTCTCTTTACGCTTATCTTCTCTCCCTCCCAAGTTTCCTGGTAGCAAATAACTGTTTCAGATCCTGTTATTCCCATTATGTCTCAATAATATTCTGACCTCTTCTCTAGCACAGAACCCCACTCCTGTACTTGTTTATAGCTCAGGGTTGAGTAATATGTTTATGAACATATCCCATAATCTTGAAAGAGTTATGGACTTAATCATAGCAGGATACTCTGTGGGCCAGCAAATGTTTATTGTATATAGCAGTGTTACCTGGATAAGGGAGAATTTAATATCTGAATTTCTGCAGAAAGCACACACTGAATGAGCAGTTGTTCATGGCATACTTGGAATGTGCTATTCAGTCACCAGTAGGTGTACAGTATTTCTGTCACCTAAGTCCTGTAACTGGCTCACTTGGGGTGAATTTGCAGGTGGGATATTCAGAGTGGCCTGGTTTGAGCTATTTGCAACAAGCAATATTGCACACTAACACTTACAGGTAGTAAAGCATCTGAAATTTCAGAATGTCACAATCCACTTACCAGTGGCTCAATACTATAAAGAGCCTAATTCAGTATTCAGACAGAATCTTCCCTTGGGTATTTAAGTCCCACTGAATCAGATGCTAAGAGAGTCAAAACCATGAGAAAAGACCACTTTGGACACCTTTATATGCATTTCAATCCAGCAGTGCATGGCCCTACAGCATTTTATCAGCAATATTTAAGCTCAATACCCATATGAAAACCAGAGAGGTCATACGGCTTTGCTTATGCTGTGCTGAATAATTTCCTAAAGATTGTGTAGGTAACCTGTAGTTTAGCGGTAAAAAGTATCCCATCCCAGTCCTTCACTCCTCATTGAGGAAGACTGCAAGTAGAGCTGTCCCAGGGAAAGAGGTGGCTTAGGACATTTGTTAGGCTTCCTTTCTGGCCTGTTTTCTATGACTCTGTGCTGTGTTCCATAAAATAATTCTGACACTCCACTGCTTGGATTTTGGAGCAGCCAAGTTATAACTAGTTGAAAAATCCCAGTGAAGGGATTGTGTCTACTCATCACCCTGGATAGTTTTTACTAGTAAATGTTGCCTAGAACCAAGGGCAAGATTGGAATACTGCTACTGGAAGCCAGGAATTTTAGAAGCAGCATTGAAAATAAGATGAGCTATCTGTAGCAGAATTTCTTCAAACTCAACTAGATCTGCATAGGAGTCTACAGAAAAGTATCCTCATTTTAGATCACTTTATTCACAAATCTGTCATCTGTTGTTGTATATGCAAAGGAAGCAGTCAAAGAGCTGCCTGGGAGTTCACCCTGCCACAGCTGAGCTGGATATCACTTTAGATTGGGATGGAACTTGTTTACAATAGATCTTTGTCTACTGCAAAAGTTTGTGACCAGGGGTTTCAAGAAGGCTAAACAAAAAAGAGTCTAAAAGCTAATTTTAAGTATTTATTACAAAATAAGTAATCTATATGCCAGTTATATACAGGTACCCTGTATATAAGCAGGTGCCACCACATATAGGAAACTCAAGGCAGTGATTTGGTAGCAAA